ATATACTAAGGGAACGCTCTTTTCTCCTATAAGCAAGGCCGTAATGGTATGTTGGCTTTTAAGCGGAATATTGATGTTTTGTTTTACAATGGAGTTTTTGGTGGCCTGGTGGTTTTTCTTCTATTGCTGTTTTTTTCTTTATTTTAATTTAAAGTTGCTCGCAGTCACGTCAAATAATCACAAAAATTGTAATTAAACATCAAATAATATTTTTAAATGCTTTTTACAAACAAAGTCATTTAATATGGCCAATCTAAACAAGTGCTTGGTGTTTAGTATCGTAACAGTTCGTTTGTATGTTAATCTTATTCTTTTTTGTGTTTGCGGATGTTTTCATTCGTTCAAATTTTCTTATTTTTTAACAAATAAAATATTACGCTAGAAATGTAGTAGAAATATTTGGTTAAACGTTTAAGCGTATTTTTTGCATTATGTAAATAATTATTTTTTCCTTTTTTTTACTTTTAAAAAAATTAAGGGTATTAAAAATTTTTAAATTTATATCAACAGGTTACATTTATGAAATATAAATTTTTTATTAAATCTTTGTGAATTTTTGAAAGGTTACAAAAAATGATGTTTTAAAATACAAATGTTGTTATTATTAGATACCTAAATCTTGATACAATCTTATTTATAAAATATTTATGAATCACAATAGGAAATTATACAGCGTCATGTATCATTGAAGTATTTTTTATAGGACTACAATAACATTTTTCCATATGTTACAAAAATGTTGTTTTAATTATAAATTAAAACCTTAAATATTAATTGGTGTAATTTATTAATCACATTTATTATAATTTAAAATTTAATTTATAAGCAACAATTAAATTTATATTATGCCATTTATTTATTGATTTAAGTATTATCAATCTTTCTTCTACTTCCTTAAAATAAAATGTATTAACAATCTTCGTAAGTCTTTATTTTATTACACACTGCAAATTTATCTTTTAATGAATTAATATTTTGATAAACAAACAATAAAATTTTAATGTTTATACGTTGATTTTTAAATCTTAAATTTTTTCATGCAGTTAATTTATCAACACTTAGCTAGTAATATATTCTTACGATTAAAACAAATTAGCATATTAAACATAGGAAAAATACTTAAAATGTACAAATTTTTATTTACAAAAAAATATAGAAAAATTAAACTTCTTTGTATTTGCACATTTTACTCTGCACTGTATTGATGCAGAAAATTTATACCCGCTTTTTTATATATAAATAGAATACAAATTACAAATGCATTTATTAGGTTATATATTCTTTAATATACTTTTTTAGGGGAGGGATCTGTCAACAAACATAATTAAAATATATTTAAAATTAAAGTAAATTAAAAAATGAAAAAATTATTTGATAAATATTTTCATGCTATTAAACTGTCAATTTATCATGTTAAATATTTATAAAGTCTTCGTTTACTAACAGACATCAAAATCAAATTTTGTTTTAATTTTTAAAGCTGTAACTATTTTTCTATGCATAAACTGCAATACAAACAAATTAAAAAAAATATTTAAACAATGTTTTTTTTGAGGGCATGAATATTAAAGAAATAAATACAAGCAAAATAAAAAGTGCAGACTTAACACATAAAAAATCATTTGAAGATAAAAAGTGGGTTTGGATACCCGACAACGATAAATGTTTTGTATCTGGGTTTATTGTCAAGCAAGAAAATAATTTTATTTTAGTAAATGTAAACAGTGAGATAAGACAAGTTAAAGAAAAAGATATAATGAAAATGAATCCATCTAAATTTGATATGATAGAGGATCTGGCAGCCTTGAGCAATTTAAATGAACCTAGTATTCTTCATAATATTATAACTAGGTATCAACGTAATTATATCTATACTTATTCCGGGTTGTTTTTATTGGCTGTTAATCCTTACAGGGAGCTAAATATTTATTCTGAAAAGTTTATAAGGAAATATGTTAATTTTAAAAAGAATGATCTTAAGCCACATATATATGGTGTAGCCAATGAGGCATATTGCAATATGATGAATAATAAAGAGAATCAAAGCATTTTAATTACAGGTGAAAGTGGTGCAGGAAAGACTGAAAATACAAAAAAAGTTATTGAATTTTTGGCTTCAATTGCTGGAGTGTATGAAAGTTTGAATAAAAGTTCTAGTACAACAAGTATGGGAATTAGAAATAAAATTTTAGAAGCTAAAAATTCAAGAATTTTAAATATTAGTAGTGATGAAATATCAATTGATAAAAAGATTATTATGACCAATCCAATTCTTGAGGCATTTGGAAATGCTAAAACCTTTAAAAATGATAATTCAAGTAGATTTGGAAAATTTATTCAGATTAAATTTAATGGGAATCGAATTTGTGGTGCATTTATAGAAAAATATTTACTAGAAAAAAGTAGAATTACTTTTCAAAATTCGAATGAAAGAAACTATCATATTTTTTATCAATTATTAGGATGTGGTGATGTTGTTTTAAAAAATTCTCTTTTTTTAGAAGAAAATTCAAAGTACCGCTTTTTAAAAGGAACACATAATATTAAAGGAGTTGACGATGGTGAAGAATTTGCTATACTTAGAAAATCATTTAGAAATTTGGAAATTTCAGAAGACGTCGAACTGTTTTATTATAAAATAGTTGCAGCAGTTTTACATTTAGGAAATATTAAAATATGTGAAAAAGATGGCATTGCAGAGATTGAAAACTTTATTGTCGTGGAAAAAATTTGTAAACTTCTAGAAATTTCTTCTGAGCAGTTTGTAAATAGTTTACTGTGCCCTGTTATAAAAGCAGGAAATGAATTTGTAACTCAAAATAGAACTGTAGAACAAGCATATACGATTATTGATGCATTGGCTAAAATTTTATATGATAAAATGTTTGATCAGTTGATTAATGATTTAAATAGTAAGCTTGGAACATCTTATAGTACCAATTTTATAGGTGTTTTGGATATTGCAGGATTTGAAATATTTAACGAAAATGGATTTGAACAATTGTGTATTAATTATACAAATGAAAAGTTACAACAATTTTTTAATCATCACATGTTTGTTTTAGAGCAAGAAATATATAAAAGAGAAAAAATTGATTGGAATTTTATTGATTTTGGGTTAGATTTACAACCTACAATTGATCTTATTGAAAAGAGTAATCCTATTGGAATATTGAGTTATTTAGATGAGGAATGTGTTATGCCACAAGCATCTGATAAAACTTTTTTAAACAAGCTTAAAAATATTCGAAGTAAAAAATTTAAAAATGTTTACTTTAAAGAAGGATTTATTCTTGAACATTATGCAGGAGATGTAGAATATTTAGTTAAAAACTGGATAAGTAAAAATAAAGATCCTAACTTTGAAAATATTAATGATTTAATAAAGAAATCATCAAGTTTGTTTGTAAGCAGTTTAAGTTTTAATGATAAAAATATTAAAAGAGGATTTTTTAGAACTGTTGCACAGAAACATAAAGAACAGCTTAGCTGTTTAATGAAGACACTTTCGATGACTAATCCACATTTTGTAAGGTGTATTATCCCAAATCTTAAAAAATCGCCAAATTGTCTTGATAATAAATTAATATTAAGCCAATTAAAATGTAATGGTGTTTTAGAAGGAATAAGAATAAGTAGACAAGGATATCCTTCAAGAATAAGTTACGGTGAGTTTGTTGAAAGGTATAAAATACTTAGAGCTGATTATAATGATATTTATATGACTGTGAATCCTGATAAACAAGAAGAATCTTTCGAATTACTTAAAAGTCTGAACCTTTCTGATACGCAATATAAACTTGGAGTTAGTAAAATATTTTTTAAACAAGGTGTTTTAGCAGATATTGAAGATTTAAGAGATATTAGAATAGATGAAATTATGAGAACAATACAATCTTTAGTTAGAAAAAAGTTAGACAAGCTTAAATTGGATTTAGATGAACAGCGTAAAAGAAATCTAATTCTTTTAAAAAAGAATGCTAATATTTGTGTTGATTTACAAAAATGGAATTGGTGGAAATTGTATATTAAGATAAAACCTTTGTTAGATGTAAGAAAAAGGGATAACGAATTAAAAGAAAAAGACAAAATCATTGAAAAATTAAATAAGCAAATTGAAGATCTTCGCATGGCTATTGATGAACAGCAAGCTCTTAATAAAGTTTCTATTCAAGAAAATGAGAAGCTAAATAAAGATTTAGAACTAGAAAAAATTCATTCAATTGAAAAAGAAGAACTTGTAGAAGGCATGAGAAATGAACTAAAGAAGTTTGAGGACGAAAATACTAATTTGAAAAGTAATGTTAAACTTATAAAAGATGAATTTATTAGAGATAAAGAGATATTTTTGAATAAATTAAAAGAGCAAGAAGTTATTAAAGATGACTTGCACAAAAAAATAAGTTATTTAGAAAATAAAAATATCCAAAGTGCAAATGAAGAAGTTAAAAATCTTAATATGACTATTTTAAATCTTGAAAAGGTAAAAGAAAAGCTTTTAAATGAGCAAAAACTTGACAAGAATTATATTGAAGATATTTTAAAAAAGAATCAAGAATTCAAAGACATTGAGTCAAAACTTACTTGTAAGGTTCAAAATCTTGAAAATGATTTACAAGCAACACGAAAAAAACTTGAAATTTTTGAAACTAATTTTAAAAAGCTGAAAGATGAAAATAACGATCTTGTATTTGAGAATGAAGCTTTTGAAAAATCACTTAATAAGTTAGAAAAAGATATCGAAGCAAAAAATATATCTTTAATTAAAGCCAATGATGATAAAAAAAGACTTCAGTCAGAATTTGATGCATTAACTATTAATTACAATATGACTTTGAAAAAGGTTGATGATTTAAAAGAACAGGTTATTGATTTAGAAAAATCTTTTTCTGATAATTCAAAGATTGAGAAGTCGAATATTCAGTTCGAGAAAATTATTAAAAAATTAAAAGAGAAGCTTGATTATTATATAAGATCTAAACATATTTTAAGGCAAGAGATTGATGAAATAAGAGAAAATAATTCTTTTTTAACTCAAACAAAAATGGAGGAATTGTTTGAAAGTGAAAGGAAATATGAATCTGAAAAGAAAAGTTTAAAAAAAGAAATACAAATACTTACTTGTAAAAACAATGCAATGAAAAAGGAACTTGATAATTTTAAAGCCATTTCTGAATCTTCAGATGATTCTACCTTAGAAAAATTGTACAATTTGTTAGATAAAGAAAAAAAATTAAGAAGAGAACAGGAACAAAAAATATTAGAGCATGAAAGTACCATTTATAATTTACAAAATCAAATCAATGATTTGGCCCAATGTAAATGTTCTATGAATGCAGGATGTACTTGTAAATGTTTACCTTGTGTTACATCTTGTAGAGTTATGTATCAAAAAGTAGATACACTGCATTCCGAAGAATTAGAAAAAATTATTACTGAAATTAATATTTTAATAGAAGGTTTTAATACAACATTTTATGAGATTTTAAACAAGCAAAAGTTAAAAATACATTCATTGAACGATGAAATTATTAGTCTTAAAGATGAAATATTAGAAAAAATTAGAGTTATTAATGAAATTGATAATAAATTTAATTTATTAAATCGTAGATACAATGAATTAAATAACTTACAAAAAGAAACACTTAGTGAACTTTCAATTAGTAATAGCGAGAATAATAATCTTGTTGCAAAAAATAACTTTATGGAGAATTCTTTATTAGAAAAGAATGCCATTATTGAGACAATAAAGAAGAAATATGAGGAGGTTATTAATAAATTTAAATATCTTGAAGAAGAGTCTAAAAAAGAATCAGACTTGTTTATTAGCAATTTTAAGCAAATGTCAGATGCATGTGACAATAAAATTAAAATAATATCTGACGAGAAAAAGAAAGAAATTTTACAGTTAAAATCTAAACTAGAAGAAACAGAAAGAAAGTTATCTGATTGTGTAAAAAATAATGAAATACTTACCTTTGAAAATAATGAACTTAGAAAGAATAATAAAAAAGTTAAAATTGAGTCTTTAGTGATAAATGACAATAGTAAGCATTTTGCTAAAGTTAAAGAATTAGAAAAAAATAAACTACAGCTGGAGAAGGAAATTAGAAACTTGAAAGATGATAAAAAAAGATATGAAATGAATATTAATAAAATTTCTAATGAAAATAAGGATTTAACAGAAAAACTTGAGGAAATAAAGAAAGAAAATTTTACTATAAGTAAAGAAAATGGAAAATATAATTTACAGAAGAGACAGATGGAAAGAGAGCTGTCTGATAATCAACAGATGTTAGATTTCCTAAAGCATGTTAGTCTTACATTTAAAAAAAAGAAATAAACTTGCATTATTTGAGTATAGTTTTTTATAATTTTTAGTCTTAAATAATTATTGTGGCATAAAATTTTTTTATAATTGTGGCATTCAAATTTTTTTATAATTTTTAATCTTAAATAATTGTGGTATTTAAATTTTTATATAATTTTAAATTAATAATCACAAGTAACAATATACAAAAAGTTTAACCCGATTTTTTATTTTTGCACAAAAATTTTTTATTATTAAAAAATTTTATTACAAAAGCTTCATAAAAAATATAATTTTTTTAAACACTCAATAATCTTACAAGTATATAATTTCTTTCCTTCTATGCGTATTATCTTTTTTAACTAAATGTTAATTTTCAGTATATCCCTTATTTACTCAAATATGAACAGTGAAATATATTCCATTGATTATTCTTTTAAATCATCTTACTTCTTATATGGTGGTAATGATCAACAGTGTACAATATTTAGCACACGATCTAATACTATTGTATCTATAATAGAAGGATTTAGTGAATCAGTTATCTTTTGTAAGTTACTGAGTGATAATCTTATACTAGTGTGTTCTATTGATGGGTATATTCTTACTACTGATCTAAATAACTCTTTTACTTCTACTACACAAATAAATGAAGAAATATCTTGTGTACACACAACTGATAACCATTTTTATATAGGAACTTATACTGGCACTATATATAAAATACATTATAAAGAAGATATTAATTGTCAAGAAGTTTTAATGGGACATGGTACAGAGATATTAAGTATAATATCTGATAATAATATTATATACACTCTTAGTTCTTTGTACTTTATTAAATATATTAATAATAATATAGAGTATAAAATTAATCTAGTAGATGGTGTATCTTTTTCTATAATTCCTGATACAGAAATATTTTGTATATGCACTTCTAGTGATATATTAATTTATAAAAAAGATATATTAATTAAAAAAATTAGTAGTGAATATCAACCAGAGTGTGTAATATACACAGAAGGATACTTTGTAGTAGGTGGATACTGTGATTATTTACTTCTTATTAATACTAATATGAATATGGTTACTTATAAATATTCGCTTGTATCATCAGGTGTTAATAAATTAATAAGTAAATCATATAAAGTTTATTTTTCTACTACGTGTGGATATGTAGGATCCTGTGATATAAGGAAAGATGATACAGTGGAAATGTATGAAAGTAAAGTGGGTACAGTATTTGATATGTGTGTTAATAATGACACTTTTTATATTGGAGGACTAAATGGTGTGGATATATTAAAAACAGAAGAATTTAAATAAATTAAATAAAACTTATTAAGTTGATATCAATTGTAAGTGAAGTATGTATTAAAACTAATAAATATTTAAACAAGTTGATATCAATTGTAAGTGAACTATGTACAATACTGATAATTTAGAATTAAATAAAAATAATTTAATAAACCATCGGTAATGGTGAATCAACGATCTTTATTTCTGCACCAAATCCAAAATTCAAAACATTTCTAAAGGCCCTACTTATTTCATAAGGAACACTGGCTTGTGTAATAGTATCTGTTCCAATACTAAACATTGCAACATCTCTAATAGCCTTACTGTAAACCTCTTTAATGTCATTCTCTGATACATCAATAAGTGATGGATCATAAAATTCACCATTTTCATAAACACTAAATATTTTCATTTTATATTTAAAAGGCTTTATATTAATAAGTGCTAGTAAATTAGCTTGACTAGGTCCTACCTTGTCCCCATCATTTAACACTAAAAAGTCTTGCATAATTTCAATCTTACCCTTCGTAATTTTAGTAGGAATACCAAGTGTTTGAAAATATCCTGTCTTTTCTGATGTCATCCCTGTAACATGTGCCTTAATCCAAACATCTGATTGTGCTATGTCACCAACCTTAGCTACACTTTCCCTTTCAAATAGATCTATTACCTCTTTAACCTTTTTAACATCCTCTTTAAAAAATATTAAACTAATATTTCCTCTAACTTTATCAAGTAAATCTTCTCTATTAAGTTCTTTAAGAGCTTTTCTAATTGCAGTATTCTTACCAGTTAAAAATGTAGAAGATGGACCCCATGCCCTCTTCATCTCTTTAAGTTGATTAGATACTATATTATCCATGGATACTAAAGCAAAACTGTTGTAAGAAGTAAAACATTCCTTGGCTTTTTCATAGGTATTCTGTTTTCTTACCTTTGATTCTTTCACGGTCATTTTAGGGGAGAAAAAAATAAAAAATTTATGCTGCATAATTAAATAACCCTAAAATGAGTGAATCACATGATCATGCAACGATTACACATGACTCTGAAATAGTTGAACCACATGATTCTACAATGAATGAACAGAATGATAATAAAATTATTGAGAGTAGTGATTGCGAAGAAACTTTTTGTCACGATATTACAAAATTATGGAATAAAAAAGATTATTTTTATAAAATTGACAATGCTACAGAAGGAAAAATTATAAAAAATTTTGAACTAAAACTAAAAAATAAAGATATACAAGTAGAGGATGCTTTTTACAGCTCTAGTAATATTATACCTGTAGCAGAAATAAGCCAATTAAAAGATGATTCATACATTAAAAAGAATTTAGAATGTAGAGAATTACGAGAGCTTAACTTTGAATTTCTGATTTTATGCAATAAAAATATAAAAGAAATACAAGATTACATAGAAATATATAGACTTTGTACAGATGAAGATGAAAAACTTATTCTTAGAAATATAATTCTACAGAAAAAAAGACAAGATATTTTGTATAATAGCGTAAGAAATTATATATCTGATCTAATAATTAAGGCAGAGGATTGTTATATTTTTATTGATTCTGTCTGGTCTACTGTGTTTAGAAAAAGCCTTGAATTAGTAACAACAGATCTAAGTAGTCAAGAATGTAATTAAATGTATCTGTTTTTTAAATTGTATTATTAAGCTTCTTTTTTTCTAAACATTAAATTATTTATTTGAAGGTTAGTATTTTCTTTTATATTTGACTTATTGCTTCAGTGGCACCACTGAACAAATTTGGTGTTCTAAGCATTTATATAGATTTAAAAATAATTCATTATTTAAATTTATGCTTAAATAAATTATTTAGATTTATAAATGCATAAAAATTTAATTGGCAGTTTAAAACAAACAAACTCGTAAATAAAAATATAAAAAAAATATTTGCATAAAGAATTTATTAATTTATTACAAAAAGCCATTCATACTGTCAAGGAGATCTTTTGGTAACATGCCTTTAGCTTGTTGTTTAAACTTAGCTTTCTGTGATTCACTCAGAGAACCAGGATCCTTACCAATTAAGTCACTATAACCAGGTATATTAGCAAATCTCTTCATCATGTTAGACATATTTCTAAACTGCACTAACAAATCATAAACTTCCTGAGGAGTACTAGCTGATCCTTTTGCAATCCTTAAAATCCTTGAATTTTCTTTTTCAATAATTAAACCATCAGAATTTAATTCTGATTTGCTAAGTGAATCAAGAATACAAATTAATTTTTTGAATTTTTTTTCATCGGGCATTTGGAAGTTTGATGTACCAGGAAGCATTTCTAATAATTTAGTCATAGGTCCAAGACTAAGTAATTGTTTAAATTGAACAGAAAAATCATTAAGAGTAAAAGTTCCTTTTTGAAATTTGTTAAAAAGTTCTTTCTCATCAATTTTAAGATCAGATATTTTCCTAGATAACCCATGTAAATCTCCCATTCCTAACATTCTTCCTACAAATCCTTTTGGTTCAAATACTTCAAAGTCTTCCATATTTTCACCTGTACCAACAAAAAGTATAGGACATTGAATAGAAGCTACAGATGATATAGCTCCTCCTGCCTTAACAGTACCATCAATTTTAGAGATAATAATAGATCCAACATTTACTGCATTTTTAAATCCTAATGCTTGATCCTCAGCCGATTGACCAATTCCTGCATCCATAACAAAAATAATATTATCTGGCGTAACTGCATTAATAATATCTGTCATTTCAGTAAACAAGTCTTTTTCTTGTGTATGCCTTCCACTAGTATCCACACAAATAAGATCAAAATCCTCTTTCTTAAATCTACTAACACCTTCTAGTGCTACTACCACAGGATCTGCTTCTTCACTGCCATAAAAAGGCACCTTAATTTTCATAGCATTTTGTTTAATTTGCTCGAATGCTCCTGCTCTAAAAGTATCAGCACAGACAAGTGCCACTTTAAGACCTTTCTTCTTATAATAATTAGCATATTTACAAATAGATGTTGTTTTACCAGCACCTTGTAATCCTACAAAAACTACAACATTACTCTTTCCTTTTTCTAATTCTTTAGATTTTATTTTAGGATCAACAAGAGAAACCAGTTCGTTAAACACAGCTGTTTCTATAACCTTCTGTTTGTTAAATCCTTGAATATTTTCAGATAATATTTTTTCATTTAAATTATTTCTAATTTTTTCTACAAGCATAGGATTAACATTTGAATTTATTAAAGAAGTACAGATATCATCTATAATATATTTTATAGAATCATCCGTAATATTTGAAGAGAACAATCTCGATAATGATGCAGTAATAGACTTTCCTAGATCTGTAATCATATAAGGGCTAGAATTTATAAAAATCAAAAAAGAAAGTATTAACAGCAAGAGATCACTGAATGTTATATATAATCTTTTAAAATATAACTAGAGTTAAGATTGTTGTACTAGAACTGGATTTCAATATAAAGATTTAATAGTGAAGCGTTTTTCATATAAAATATTTGATTGTGTTTTATTTAAAGGTAAATTGCAATCTTTCAAAAAATATAAATATGCCTAGAATCAGATATTTGAATAAATTAAGTATAAATATTCATAAAAGAATCAGATATCTGAATAAATTAAATATAAATATTCATAAAAGAATTAGATATTAAGTTTATAATGTTCATTAATGTGTGCGACAAGATTTTGGTTCATTTGCACTGTTTTTTGAAAATCACGTTGTAAACATGAAATAATAACTGCTACTAGTATATTTACTTTATATACATAAGTATAGCACGCTTAACGTACATTAAGGGATATTTTGCAAAGGATGATTACAATGATTTGGTGACGCAATATAAATTAATAACAATCAATTTACATAAAACTTATGTAATTTAAATATTATAACTGCAGGTTAAATCATAATAAGTAACATATAAAACACATATAAATTTAATGGGCCTTCCATATGCATTATCATTGGATAAAATGCCGTTATTTAATTAAAGATAATATTTATACACAGAAATTATTTAATTAGCACCACTACATTTTAATATTTTCTGTTTTAGGTATTTTTCATCTAATAAACAAGCATGCATCCTTAAATGGTAAAAACTAAACAAAATGATTATGAAATTAATTATTTGTAAATATTAATGATATTTTAGCCAGACAAAGTTAAAAATAACAGTATATTTTAGATTTATTAATTGCTAATTATTGGAAACATTTTACAGTTCATATCAAGAAATATTACAAGAAAAGGAATGTAAATTAAAAATAAATCTTATTAGTGAATATGACAGTCTATGATTATGCACACATTTCAAATATAGTTATTAAAAATGATTGATATTTTAATATATTCAAATGACCAAATTAGAATATTACCCTTTAAAGAATAAAATTAATTATCAACTATTAAGTTACTTAATATAGACATTTAATAAAGGAGATTTAAATAAATTCTGAAAAGATAAGCTCTAGATGAAATTTATAGACCAAGAGGAAGAAATTATAAAATCATTTACTCTAAAGACTGCACGTCCTAGAATACGTTTTAGTAAATACCAAGAGGATGTACTAAACCTAGCATTCTCAAAAAATCCATATCCAAATAAATTTGATAAATCTGAACTTAATATACTAACTGGTATACCAATAAGAAATTTAAAAATATGGTTTCAAAATAAAAGAACACGAAATAAAGACATTTAAGCATGAAAAGATGCTTTAGATACTAAAACACATCTATACCAAAAAACGTTTTCAATTAAAACAATTATAAATTTTTATTCATTAACCTTTTTCTTAATTCCATTTCTAATGCTTCTCTCTTTTTATTAAAATGAATATCTTCATATATTTTATACATTTTATTATCTTCTTGTTTTACTTTACACTCCTTAAAAATATTTCTACTGTAAGCTTGTGCTTCTTGTTCAATAATCATTTTCTCATTATTCATATTTTTTAAATCTTCTTGAATTTTATCATACATTTCTTCGCTTACCAATCTTTGTTTGTACAAAGGCTCTACTATTCCTTCCTGTTTTTCCGTAAAATAAAATCTTTCAAGTAAATCAGTACACCACTTAAGAAGGCAATTATAACTCTGCTGTTTATTAGTATTAAATAAGGATTCATAATAAGATGTCATAAAAGGGGATGTAATGTATTCTTTGTTAGATGACCTTCTTATACAAGAAAAAGATATAAGTGTTATACTTAAAATTATAGCTAGGACAAGAAACATAAAGGGGTAAATATTATTATTTATAAAAGTGTATATAAAACTAGATAAAAAAGTTTTGAAAATGAAAGTATAGATTAGATATAATTTATAAAGTGCATATAAAACTATATAAAAAGTTTTTAATAAAAAATAAAAAAAATTTTACGTCAAAAAAAATATTGAATTATAAAAACAAAAAAATTTTGAAAGCAAAATATAAAAATAACAACTAGATAAAAACAATAAAGCTATATAAAATCAATAAAGCTATATAAAAACAATGAAATTAGTTAAAAATAATAAAACAATATAAAAAGTAAAATTTTAAATAAAAAAATTTTGAAAAAAAAATGCAAAAATAAATGAATAATTTTTAAATATGTTTTCTATTAACACTATACTAAAATGCATAATGTAATAAATTACTAATACCATTTCTTTTATACACACCTATCATCTTATTACATTCCTTATATACTCCTACTTTAAGACTTACCATCACTATTTGTAAATCTTCACTTTTAATAAAATCTACAAGTCTATTAACATTGAAATTATCTAAATTAGAATCTACTTCATCAAGTAATAAAAAGCCTTTATTACTCATCTTACTAAGTGCATACATAAAAACTAATCTACTTATCATTTGTTCCCCTCCACTTAACACGTCATATTCTTTATATTTTTTGTTAGGTACCATAACATAATATTTAACACCTGAAAAAGGTTCATCAGAATTCTCTGCTATTATATTACATGAACCACCAGATATTTTAGAATAAAGATTTGAAATAATCTCATTAAGTTTAGTAAGATATTCTGTAAATAATGATGCTCTTTTGTTTTTAATAATATTAAAATTCAATTTAGTCTCAAGCGTTTCTTTTTTTAAGCTATCATATTTTTGTAAGTTAAAATCTAAAACAGTAGTATTTTTTATAAGACATGTATTATTTAACATCTTATTAATTTCTTCTAATTCTGTACGTAAAATTGATATATTTTCTGAAGTGAACGGGAAATTTGTTAAAAGTTCATTATTATTAATATCTGTTAGATTTGCATCATTTTTATGCTGGCGTTTTTGCACCAAAAAATTAACATCAACTACTTCATTTTTTTCTATAAAAAATAAATCTTTTATTTCTTCTGCAATATCTTCCTTTTCACTGATGTTATCTTCTAAAAATTCATTAATAATAATACTATCATATTCTTTTTGCAATTCATCTAATTTTTTAGTATCTAATTCTAAATAATTAAGAATTTTATCTTTTTTTTCTTTCAAGAGATTATGCTTTGCATTTTGCTCTTCTGTATAATATTTACTATTTCTAGTTAAGTAATCATTGTAATTTTTGTATCCATTAATTTTAAATAAATCTCCAAAAACTTTAGTCTCAGGAAGTAAAACTTCCTTCTTTTTTATTTTTCTAGTTTCTATCTCTTCATCTAGTTTTTTAAGTTTATTTTGTATTATTTCTACAGTACTATTAGAGTCTATTTGCTTCTTAATGCTATTCATAGTATCAATTATCTCCATACGTCTTTCTAAAGATGAGTCATGAATGTTTATTTTGTTAAATTTAACAATTCTACCTTTACTTCTTACAATGACACCATCAATAGTGCATACATCTACAGAATAATCTACAGGATAAGCTTTATTTGTTATTGAAATATTTCCGAATAAATCCTCTATTACATTTCTTAAGTTATCAGGGCAATCAATCACCAAAAGTGGTGATACAAGGTCTTTATCTAAATTTTTCTGTACATAAGTTTGCTTAGAAATACATTTAACAATACAAGAAATTCGCCCTAATCGATGTTCTTTACAATATTCAATACATTTAAATGCACTATCAATATCTTCTACTACAACGGTAGATTCATATGCAGATAAAATAGCTTTAATGGCCACTTCATATTTTTCATTAGTACATTTAATAAGATCATTAACAAATCCTATAACACCAGGTAAAGATTTAATTTTACTCTTCATATTGTATAACTTAATAGTCCTTGCCTTAATATTTTTACTTAGTAAAATCTCATTATTTATTTTATTTAACTCACTTTCTAAATTTAGATACTTTTCTTGTATCGTATTAAATTTATCAAGCATCATCTGATGTTTCGTAACAAGCTCTTCTTTTTCTTTCAAAAGTTCTTTTACATCATCATCTACTTCTACTTTACAACATTCTTCATTGTTTAACAATCTAAAGTATTCTTTTTCCAAATTTTCAAAGTTGGGAATTATGATATTTGGCTTTACAGATAAATCTTTATCAATTTTATAAATTACATTTTGTTTTTGATCTATTTGTAATCTAAGTTCTTTTATAGATCTACTTAATAGCATTTTTTTAGCCAACAATGATTTGTTTTCTAAAATTTTATCAGCATCTTGTATAAAAATATATCTATCCAATAAATTATTAATTTTATAATAAAACAATATATTTTCAATATCCTTCTTTCTTTCAACCATCTTCACATTTTTTGTATGTTCTTCTTCATATTTCTTATTTTCTTTCAAAATATTTAAATATTGCTTTCTTTTTTCTCCTTCTATTTTCAATTTAATCATTAAATCATTATATTTAGATAATAACACATCATGCTCCTGTTTGTAGTTAATAGACCCCGATACCTGTTCTATTATTTGACTAATTGGAATATCAGTGTGAGATTGGTAAATTATAAAATTATTTATAAATTCCTTAAAAACAGTCTTTTTGTTGTTTACAAAATAAGAATTTTTACCACTATTATTAATATATCTAGTAAAAGTCATTATCTCATTATTATCTTGTAATACTAATTTAACTGTAGCATTTTTTATATTATATGGTTTATTTGTCATTACAAAAACCATTGCATCAAGAATATTCGACTTGCCACTACCATTTGGTCCAATAATACAAGTGAAATGTGAATCAAATGGAATTACATGACTTGATTTGTAGCTTTTAAAGTTTGTAATTTCCAGTGATTTTATTTTGTACATTTATGCACTTTAAGGGGAAAAATATATTTATAGTAAAAAAAATAAAGTTGGTTTATTTATAAATAAAGTTAAGTAGTTTTTATTGTATGTCAAAGAAATGTTATTTAGTCCTTTTTCAATGTTTCTAGTAAGCTTGTTTATAAAACTAAACCAAAGTTGTTTTGTTAATCAATAAAAGTTATATTTTATTTTGATTAATTATCTCTTAAACTTTATTTTGTAAAGTTTTATTTTCATTAGACGTCAAAATCAATTGTGATCATATTCCCTTATAAATCATTTAACTTTTAATTTTTTTAAAAATAATCGGTTTTGACTGTTACAAAACACTAAAAATAAAATAACAACAACTTGTTTCTTGCACCTGGTATCTGTTTTTTAAAATATAATTTTTTGATATCAGATCCAAATTTAGTAAAAAAGTTGTTAAATTTCTAAACCCCAATGAAAAATAACTTACTAGAAGCTTTAAATGATAAAACAGTACTATTAGATATTACAGAACCAATAAAACAAGAAATACGAACAAACACTTATGATGCATTTGAAAGAAATGGTACTAAACATGAGGCGGCTGTTCCAATAGGAGTAGACTATACACTCATTCCAAACGAATTTCAAGAGTTTACAGCCAAAACTTATAATTTCGAGTTAGACATATTCCAAAAAATTTCGTTATGTGCTCTCGAGCGCGACGAAAGTGTTTTAGTTAGTGCGCACACAAGCTCGGGAAAAACTGTTGTGGCTGAATATGCCATAGCAATGTCTCTAAGAGATAACCAAAGAGTTGTTTACACATCACCAATCAAAGCACTTAGTAACCAAAAATACAGAGAGCTATTAGAAGAATTTACCGATGTCGGACTAATGACCGGTGATGTGACGATTAATCCTGGTGCGTCGTGTTTAGTTATGACGACAGAAATATTACGCAATATGCTGTATAGAGGTAGTGAAGTCATAAGAGAAATACATTGGATTATATTTGATGAAATACACTACATGAGAGATCGCGAAAGAGGAGTTGTATGGGAAGAAACAATTATTTTATTACCATCACACGTTCGTATGATTTTTTTGAGTGCGACGATTCCTAACGCACTTGAATTTGCAGAGTGGATTTCGTATATACAAAAGCAGGTGGTGCATGTCGTATATACGGAAAAACGCATCACACCACTTGTACACTATTTTAAAACGGATAAACTTTACACAATTAAAGATTCTGAATTCCATAAAAATGAGTTTTATAAAGCTATGAAAACGGTCAAAAAAGGTAGAATAAATGAGCGAAATATTATTTCAGTCATTAGAGATGTTTCGTTGCCTGCAGTTATATTTTCGTTTAGGAGGAAAGATTGCGAATATTTTGCTATAAGGCTTATTGATGATTATCTTAATGATGAAGAAAAAGAGGCAGTAAATACGGTGTTTAGGAATGCGATAGATTCTTTACGTAAAGAAGACAGAGAACTTCCTATTATTAATAACATTTTACCTCTTCTTTTACGAGGTATTGGTATACATCATTCTGGTTTACTTCCCATTATTAAAGAAATTGTTGAAATTTTATTTCAGGAAGGGCTTTTAAAAGTTCTTTTTGCAACAGAAACATTTTCAATTGGTCTTAATATGCCTGCTAAATCTGTAATTTTTACCTCGCTAAAAAAGTTTGATGGTGTTAAAACGCGCCACCTTACCAGCGCAGAGTATATTCAAATGAGCGGACGAGCGGGAAGAAGAGGGATTGATGAAAAGGGAATTGTTGTTAGTCTTTTAAGTGATGTTATGACATATGCAGAGCTAAAAGATTTATTTTCGTGTTCTAAAGATAATTTAATCAGTGCTTTTCGTTTAACTTATAATATGATTCTTAATTTAATGCGTGTGGAAGGTCTTGATCCTTTGTATCTTATTAGTAGATCTTTTCATCATTTTCAAGCCTTTAAGAAAGGTAAAGAAAAAGAAAGCGAGCTATTTGAGATGTATAGTCTTATAAAAGATCTACCTAAAACTAAATTAGTAGATTTATTAACTGAGCTGGAAAATGAAAAAGTGGTTAGATGTAAAAAATTGTCTGTTCAATTTAGACCTTTTGTTAAAAAGGGACGTGTAGTAGATCTTTTTATACCACGTTTTGGTGCTAGTATTTTTATTAAAAATGCTATTATAGATGAAATAGAAGATGAACATATTGTATGTCTTGTATTTACTAAAGAATGTATAAAAAAGATAACAGTAGATATTAATACGGTGTATATGGTATATGATTTTAGAGCTAAATTCAATCCAAAAGTTTTTTATAAAGATTTTGAAAAAATTACTTATATTGAAGATAATGACTTAGTTAATGAATTAGAAGAGAAACTTAAAAAATCTTTTCCTAATATTAATTTACAATATTGTATTATTTGTAATAAGATTTTTCCGGAATGCTATTATTCGTGTTCTAGCTATTTTTTAAGTGGTGAGGAGTATAAAATAGATGTAGACTGTTCTTATATTTTTGATAATAAAATAAAAAAACCGGCAAAAGAACCTTTTTACGTAGATTTAGATACGGTTAATTATATTAAAAACGAAATATATAAAGATGCCTATAAAAATAAATTCAAAGAGATGTCTAAACTTAAAGAAATTTATCATATGGACGAATGTAAAAAAATGATCAATGTTCTTAGAGACTTGGAGTATGCTGATGATACTACTGTCGCGATTAAAGGAAGGTTGGCGTGTGAAATATCATCTGGAGATGAATTGGTGCTAACAGAAATGATTTTTAACGGTGATTTTCAGAAATTGGAGGTAGATGATTTTGTTCCTTTATTGTCCTGTATGGTTTTTGAAGAGTGGAATGAAGAAGATTTTGTACTTTCGGATGAAAATAAGAAGTTGTATTCGTTGATTGAAGATTCTGTCAGAAAAGTTTGTCGAGTTCTTCATAAACATGGATTAGAAGGAACACCTAAAAAATACCTTAGAAAGTTCTCGTATGAAATGATGGATGTTGTTAAAATGTGGTGCCGTGGACATACATTTTTAGAGATTTGTAATAGTACAGAAGTATTTGAAGGAAGTATTATTAGAACATTTAAACGATTAGAAGAATTACTAAAGCAGCTTAGCAATGCTGCACGTGTCATTGGGAATAATGAATTAGAGAATATGTTTAGTGATGGTATTGTTAAAATCAAGAGAGATATTGTCTTTGCAAATTCATTATATTTATAAATTAGTTTTTAAGTGAAAAAATATGTTTTTTAATAATTATCAAATTTTTAATTAAGTTATATTGATTTTATGGAACGAGATTTTTACAATATATTTAAAAGGGTGACTACTTTTGTTTTACTTTTAACAAAAAATTTACATCATTATACTTATTATATCAATATAACTAAAAATTTTTTACAAAATAATATTGTGTAATATTTTTTAGGCATAAAACATCATTTTTTTCAGTAATCTACTGAATTCTTTTTTAAGAATAATATTATTTAAATGCAAAATTGTTTAGATATTTAATTTCATTTTACTGTATTGTAGTTTAAAGATATTATGTAAAAAATATATTTAGAATTTACTAGTAGCTTTACATAATGTAAAACTGACAAAATTAAACATTTGCAAATAATTTTAAAATTGCAGCTTGTCACTTTATAATTTTTGGCAGATGTTTTTTTGTGCAAATCCTCCATTTAAAACTTAAAAAATTTAGCATATTTTTTGACAATTGAAAGATATTTTAAAAAATAAATTTTTAATTATAATTTAGTCTTTTATTAATTTGAGAAATTCTTGAATTAATTCTATCTTGTTTTTATTAGTCTGCATGTTTTTTCTTACGTCTTCGTCAATCTGTTTATTTTTAAAATTTTCTAAAAATTTTTGTTTTAACTCTTTATAAAGTTTCTTATCTTCCGTATTTACTTCTATCAATAAATTTAGTTTATTAAAAAAAATATTTGCTTCATCTGAATTAAAAAAAACAACTTGAAATTTCTTTTTACTATCAACAAATTTAAATGCCAACACACGCCCTTTAAGACACATCCTGACTGAACTGCCAAGATTAATATTCTCAAGCTTAGTAACTCTAATATTTGGAGGATTATGAATGCAAAGTTTTATTTCCAATATTCTGTTGTATAAAGTAATTTCAATAAATCTATTACTTTCCATGTAAATATGTAACCACTGTTCTTTCTTTATGCCTTGTGAATCTAACTGTGAATGTGTAATAGTCTGACTAATAGACTCCATATTATGTTTACAATAAGATAATTTGTCATCTTGATTTTCAACAAGTTTTGAATATTTAAAAAGTCTCCATGTGTAATTCATGCAAAAATAAAAAAATAAATAATTTATTCGAAATTATAATCTAGCTTTTTAAAGGCACAATCTCCAACCAAAACAGCTTTACCTCCGGTACTCTTTAATATAGGATCTCCACAGCCTTTGCAATTCATATTTCGTTGTGAATGAGAATAACATAATGTAACTCCTTTGCATCCTTCACAAAGCACTTGCATAAAATATCCAGTGGGAACAGCATATAAATTTTTAGTCTTGTGAGTGCGTTCTAACTTTTCTTTTGTTGGGAATGCTAAATCAAAATTCTGATAAATTAGAAAATTTTCACTTACCATTTTATGGGATAAAAAATTAAATATTTTTACAAAAAAAGTTCTTTGATTTGTAAAATAAATTTATTAGTTTGTTTGTTTAAAATTATGCAAAAAAGCTTATAAGAAAATGTTAGCATAAAAAAATGAAAATCTTTTTACCCTTAAATGAATACCTCGGGATTTATATCACAATCACAAACTGAAGAAAAGGCTAAATATAATGTAGTTACAAAGAAATTAACATCCTTGATTTCTATATTTGATAAATTGTATGGAAAGTCATTTTATAAAAAATTAATTAAGACAGATTACAATTCATTAAAACTTACTTCTATGCCTTCTGTGATTCTAGATAATATTAAGGTTAACCATCCACTAGTTAAATTAATGATTGAATATGTCAAAAAGTTAGACACTCTTGGAGATTCTTCTAAATATTTTTTAATGATAGTTAAGTATCTTATTGATGAAAGCTATAAGATTATTGAAAAGGGAGTTAAACCTACTGTTCTGGGTGAAATTTATAGAGACATAGGAAGTGAATTTAATGACTTTTGTAAAGACTTTGTTCAAGAAATTAATATTTTTGAAGATGAATTAATCGAGCAAGACATTAAAGAAATAAACATTAACGATAGTGAAAAGACTAAACCTTGTCTGTTTTTATTGCTTGATTCTCTTATTAAAGAAAGAAAAATAAAAGATCTGCTTATAGAAGCTATAAATAAAACAAAATCATTTAGTACAGAAAAGATTAGAGTAAATAAAATATCAACTGGCACTATTGATGATAGTTATCTTGTAGAAGGAATGATTTTTGAAAGGATGCCTGATTCTATAAAAAAAGATCTTGAAAATGGTACTAGTTCAATTTACAATTGTCCTCTTGATATAAGTAGAGCAGAGCTTAAAAGTACAATTTTGATGAATACTTCTGAAGAATTATACAATTTTAGTAAAGAAGAAATTAATCTAATAAAAGAGAAAGTGGATTCTCTTAAGTCAGATTTAATTATTTGTAGTGGTAAGGTAGATAACATCTTTTTAGATTTATGTAATAAATCTAATAAAGTAATATTTAAGATTATGTCTAAACATGATTTAAGAAGAATTAGGGATTGTCTTGGTGGTGATATTTCTCCAGTTCTAGAGCCTATTAAAAATTTTGGACATGTTAAAAAAATGAGCATTTTTGAAGAAGGTAATAAATCATATACTAAATTTTTAGGGAGTGATATGCAAACAATTGTACTAAAAAGTTCATTAGATGTTATTTTAGATGAACACGAAAGAATAATTAATAAAACATTGAGAGCGTTAAGTAAAAATATAAAAAACAATAAGATTGAAGTAGTAGAAGGGTCTGGTACATTTGAAAAACAACTTACTAATTTTTTGGTAAATCAATATAATTCCAATATTGGTAATAATGAAGAAACTTTAAATAGAAAATATGCATTTATATCTTTGAGTAACGTATTTTCACGTTTTAAACAATATGATACTATTACTTATGATATTTATAGTACTAAGCTACGTGCCATTAAATATTCCTTAGATTTTATTGCAGTAATGTATGAGACAGAAGATTATTTAATAGGAATACAAGAAAAATTGAATATTAAGCCAAGGTTAAATGATGATTGGGATGAAGATCATTAAATATTTATTTTTTAAACGTGTTTTTTAGAAATTGATACATCATCTATACTTTTTAAGTTATTGATAGATCATTTGTATTTATTAATACATCATCTATGTTTACAAATCTCTAAACTAAATATTTTCAATTTCAAGTTTTTAGTTGTTAAAAAATATAGTAAATTTTAGTCCTTTTTGAATGAATACCGTACAAACAGAAAATCCTAAGCAGTTTTTAAATAGACTTATTAACAAAAAGATAAGAATTTTTCTTAAATGGGGACAATATTACGAAGGAGTGCTAATCGAATTTGATAAATATTTTAATTTTGTTCTTTCAGAATGTAAAGAGTATGACAATGAATTTATTAATGAAATGGGCAGTATTTTTATACGATGTAATAATGTTAAAACAGTTCAAGAGATATTAGATTTATAATCTTATATTTCCATTACTTTATGTTTGTATCCTGTGTACATCCTGTAACATTTCTGTAAAACTAGATCATAAATTAAGTCTTGTATTTCTACAGAACGATAAAAGTCATCAATACATATCTCTTTTTTTACTACTGTAATAGAGATGTATTCTTCTTCTTCAAAATAAGGCAGTAAAATCGAATATAAAAATTTTTCATATAAAGTAAATGTTTTATCATTTTTTAGACTATTTACTGTTTTTAAAAAATCTTCGTAAAATAACTTAGACCATACAAAACACTCTTGTTTTACCATCATTCTGTAAAAAACATTTAGATCTCCATTGTAATAAGATTTTTTTTTGTAACATTCCTGACTTCGTTGCCAAAGAATAAACTGTTTAATCTGTGTATCATTTCCCATTAAATTAGTAAAAATAACAAAATCATTATTCATGTATAAAAGATCAACACTCTTATTTAGAATTTTTCTAATAAAAAAGTAACCTTCTTCGACCAAATATTTATAAATTACCTCACATTTTAGTAAATAATCATCATCTATAATCTCATTCTTACATATTTTGACTTGTTGTATAAGTTTATTAACAATGTTAAGGCTTACTAAATTACAATCTAATTTAGAATATAAATAATCTATCATATCATAATTTTTTAACTCTTTATTTAAATCATTTATCTGATTATTTATATCATCTTGTTCTGATTTGTACATATCGAAGGTTTTTATAAACTCTTCAATGCCTTTTTTCGTTTCTTTTAGTTCATTAAGTACAGAAAACTTTGATTCAATCGATTCTTCAATATTTGGCATGGGGTGTAGAATAAATGAAAAAATAATGTAGATTTAGTAATAAAATTTACGCTTTTAAATAAAATGTAAGTACGAAAAAATTTACGTTTAAAATAAAATGTAAGTTTAATATTTAAATTAGGTTTGAAAGAATGTAAGTTTAATAATAAAATGTAAAAAATAAATGTAAGTTTAATTATAAAATTTAAATTTAAAAGAATGTAAGTTTAATAATAAAATGTAAAAATAAATTGTTAGTTTTAATAATAAAATGTAAAAAAATCAGTAAGTTTAATAATAAAATGTAAGTTTAAAAAAGATTAATTTTAACCACAAAAAATATTCAACACAAGTAAATTATAACTTTTTTATAAAAAACAAGAGATAAGCTTTTTTCACTAGATCTTTAAAATTTACAATATTTACTTTTTCATCATCTACACAATACCACACACCATCTTTATTAATATATGCAATATAATGCCCAAAATTTAAACTACCGCTGTGTACAATAAACCCTTTTAGTACAAATCTCTTTGATCGTATAATTAGTTCCTCATCAACTAAAATATCTTCATTAATTTTTGATGACACATAGTTTACTGTTTTAAATCTTTTTATATGTAAAACCAGTATTTTATTAATTTTTTGAATCTTAAAAAATTTTAAAAAGTTTGTATTTTTTTTACATCTGTGACAGAATATTAAGTCAGTAAGTGACTCTTTTGAACTGTACAATTTTAGACTCTGAGACAATGACGAACTAAAATCTAAAGATAATGAAACTAAACAATCTTTATGTTTGGCTTTTATATTTTTACATGCTCTGCACTGTAAAATATTATATCCTTTAATTAAAAATGGTATACTAACACCAGTGTATTTTTGTAATTTATGATTTACTGTTTTATGTTCATCTTGTCCAGTTTTAATATAACTTATATTTTTTGTGCATTTAGTATTAATTAAAAATAAATAAAACAAGTAAACATCTTGCTGTTCTTTACCACTAAACTCTGCGCTATGTCTACTTATAGTATTAATAAATAAATTAATAAACTTGTTTTGAGTAGTGTGGTATTTTACGAAAAAGTGTCTTATGGTACATTTAAGGCAATATTCATCTTGGCATGTCTTAGATACTAAAAGAAAACGGGTGAAAGGTGTTAAACTAAAAAGTGCTTGTATAAGGGCATTAATAAAACACGTATTACCAAGATTTGGAAGACCTTTACAAGTAATATTAATAGTAGTAAAGATTTGTGGATAAAGTATTGATCCATTTACATCATCTAAACTACTGTTACACGAGTTATTAACGCATATTAATCTAGAATTATATTTAAAATCAATAAAAATGTTATGAGCACGACATCTATCATTTTCACAGCATACAATATTGCAATCAAGACACACATACAAATTATCGGGGCTATTACAAACAATACATTCAAATTTATATTTTAATTTATTGTATTTGTGTTTAAAAATATAAAAGCGCTTTTGATAAAATGGTTTTAACAAATGGGTGCATGTCATAAAAGAGGGTAAAAATATTGAGTGGAACACAAAAAGAAAAGTGAAGTAGAATATAAGAAAATAGAAATCTAGTACTAGGCTTTACATTATGAAATTGTATATTTTTAACCACTAAAATTTTGCAAAAAAGAATGCTTTGTTCAGGTATAAAATTAAACTTTTCAATTGATCAAAATTCAGTACCTTTTTTTTCAAGCTTTATTAAAAAAATATTATATTTTATAAATTATCTTTCAACTAACTTTTAAGTTTCTTATAAATAAAATTTAATAGCAGAATGTTTAAATTTAAACTTATTTCATTTTTCAAAAGATAATTTCATTCTTAAATGATTTTTTTTATTTATTAAAATCTATGTAATTATTTCCACTATAAAATTCATCTGGTATTCCCAATTCTACTGTAAAAATTATATTATCATCATAACTTTTTTTACATAAATTATAGTTCCATTTATGAGGTGTATATGAATATCCTTCTCTTTTAGTTAATTTATAAGGTTTATTATCCGTAACATCTATAACTAATGGATTAGATAAGTTATATTTTTTAATAAGAGGTTCAATTATTTTTGTATTATTTGTATTTGTAATTAAACCTATTATATTAAATTTAGGAATATTATTACAAGAATGTATTTCTAATTCTGTAGCAAATTGTGGTACAAATAATAATGATATTACATTACTGTCTAGTATTAAAAAAGCAAAAGATATTGTATTTATATTTGTTACTCGTTTAAAAATTCTTATTATATTTTTTGGGATTTCAATATCTGCCTTGGTGTTATTTAAATTGTTGTAATCTATTATATTATTGTTTATTGATTTATTGCTTATCAAATTGTTATCTATTATATTGTTATCTATTATATTGTTATCTATCAAATTGTTATCTATTAAATAATTGTTATTTATCAAATTGTTATCTATCAAATTGTTGCTATCAATAAAAGTGTTATATAATAAACTGTTGTTATCTATTACATCATCTTTATATTCAATATTCTTTATATCTAAATACTTCTTTTTTTTAAGATATTCATCCATCAAAAAATATTTATCCTCCCATGTACATTCAGAATAAATAACCTTATTTTCTGTCTCAAAACCAAATACTATATCACGAATATCAGATGTAAGTAACTTATGCTTATTTATAATATTCTTACTACAATATTCAGTTATAATAAATTCTTTACATTCTTTCTCAACTTTAATCCACTCAGCATCAGACAAGATGGTAAAAAATGATATATCATTCAACACGTCATATGCCTGTACTAAGAGAATTAACCTACAAAATTTAGTGAATGATGTTAATCCAAACCAATTTTTATATAAATTAATTACTATATCTTTTTTTATATCTTGATTTATTAATTTTAATATATTCTCCATTTTAATATTATTTTCATAAATCTTAATTTTTATTTCTTTGTAATCTATCATAAATCCTTCTATTCCGTCATACATATCTTTTCTTATTAAAATATTTTCTTTTTTCAATGTGCGTGACAATTCTAATAGAATTTCACCCGCTAAATTTTTTTTAATTCTGTTTTTATTTCCCTCTACAAATTTAATGTATAAATTTCCTGATTCTGGATCTAATATAATTATAAAATTTCTGTGATATAATAATCTTTCTTCAACAATCAAAGTATTATAGTACATTTCTTTACTTGATACAACTACTTCTACTTCACTAGTGTAAATTTCTAGTGTTTTACGAAGTCTTTCTCTTAAAATGTGAAGACTAAGATTATTTTTTAATATTTTATCAAGAATATTAGATAACATAAGTTTAGAATCAAGATATCCATAAAATCCTACTGTATTGTAACAAAGATCAAATACAATTACTAATCCATATTCATCAGGATAAAATCCACTAGTAATATATTCTATGTATTTAACTTTAGCATATTTATTTGAATTATGTTTTGTAAAACTACCCCATCTTAATTGAACATCAATCCATAAAACTTTGATATTAACAATATTTTCATTATTTGGACTAAGAACATAAAAATTCCCAATAAGTAATAAATCTGTACAACTTTTATTAAAAGTTATACTTTTTTTATTAAATATTTTTTGTATCTCACAATCACAATAATTTTTTAAATTGTTTTTTAAATCTGATACTAAACTTTCATGTATCTTCATCCACAAATTATTTCTAAAAATTTGTATAAAAGAAACCTTTAGTGTTGGTAGCTTGCCATGCATAAAAATACCTGTAGATTCTAATTGAACTTGATATCCAACATAAACATCAGTAGTGTTTATTGTAGGAGACCACCAGAGTGTAAATCTTCTATTTGGTATTTGATTTAGACCTGATTTTTGTGCTTTAGTCATGTGAGAATGTTTAATAGATTCATTCCAAAATAACTTACTGAATTCTTTAGCATATGTTGCTTGATATAACGTATGCTTTAAAATATGACCTGTGCCACCAAGAGCATCAAGCATATCTTCATTATATTTTGATAAATCCCACAATTTACCATCGTGTCGTAAACTAATAAAATTATATGGATCATATTTAGAACTAATGTATTTTCTATAAATATTCTGTAATCTCCAATCTCTATCAAATAATGTAATTTTATCTTTTTGTAAAAGCGTAGACATTCTAGGAACACCTTTATTTGGTTCTATTTTCTCTGATTTTTTAAATTCTAACCATACACGTTTTGATTCATTAAATTCTTCTTTCCATGAAATTATGTAATTTCTTAAATCTGGAATATTTAAAATATTTTCTTCATTCTGTATTTTTTCTTCACAATAAGTTTTCATTACCGAATACATTCCTAATCCTCCATAATTTATAGATGTATAAAATAATACAGCAGGAAATCTAGCAGGCATTTTAGAATTAAGACCTTTTTTTATAAGCAACTGTATTGATTTTTCTGCCCAAGTAAACAATTTATCTATTTCAGGTGAATTTCCAATAAATTCACGATATCTTGTAATAAATCCAAGTATAGTGTTATTCCATTTATTAATAGTTTTAATAAATGTACTAGATCCACTAAGTTTTATAATTTGTTGAATTCTAAATTTAAGTATTTCTAATGTATTGTCATTTAGATTAAAAAATACATTTCCTTTACAAATATTTATATCTACTCCCGCATAAGTAAATTTAAAATTATCCCAATAAGATATATTTATACATTTTATCTTACCTATATTTTTAGGAAGTCTTGTCATGTATTCGTATTTCAAATCATTTTCATTTAATATTTTACATTCACTTGAATGTAAAATATAAAACTTATTAAAATTTCGTATAAAAACATTTTCTCCAAAAACAACCAAATCTATCACAAAAGTATAAAATTTGTGAATGAAAGAACTAAATTGAAATCCATTTAAAAATCCTAAATGATTTGTATATGACATATCTTTATAATATATTTTTATATTATTTCTACTAATAATATAATCCACTAATAAAGGATCTATAAATATTTTTAATAATCTAGCAAGTAAATTATTATCTATATTTTTCATTAAATCAATATATTCTCCTTCTATTAAATAAACATTTTTAAAATGTTTTAATTTATCTACCACGCCATAAAGACTTTTACTTTCAATTTCATCACCAGGTTTTATGTATTCAGGAAATATTTCTGAAGTTTCATAAAAAATATAAGATGCAATAAAAGCATCAGTAAGTCTTTCTATATAATTCACTTTGTAGATAACAATGTATTCATTGTAGCTATGTGATATCTTAGCTTCTACATCTCTAAACTTTTTCTGTGTTAAAATATTTTTTTTTATTTGAAAAATATATGCAGAAGAATTTTTTAAAACTTTTTCATAAAATTCTTTTTCTTCATCTTTTGCATTTTTTATTAAATAATGTACAGCATTTTGTAAATGCTTTTCACAATTAGTCTCTGGAAAACTAATATTCTTTTTATCTTTAAAATAATTATAAGCTGTTGTATAAATACCAGCAGCTTCTAAAGGAGTTATTAACAAATTTTTAAGATATTTTTTCTGCCGATATCTTTCTTCTTTAAAAAATAATCTTGTTAATTTTCCTATTTTTTTAACAAAATCTTTTTTTGATTCTACTTTTCCTTCTATGGCTTGTTTAATGTACCATTGACTTTTAATATTAATATATTTTTTAATAATATCATTTATATTAGAAATAATAAGATTATTATATTCTTCTTCAATATTCATAAATTTGTAAATATGATCCGCTTTCCAGTATCTCCAAGCTTCATTAAAATGTCTTAATATCATTTTTATTTGATTTTTTGTATATTTCCCTTCCATTTCATTAATCATATTATTTTTTATGTTAATATCATAACTACTTTCTATGCGTTGTTTAGTAACCTTTTTTTCATGATATTCCCTTCCATTAATAATTCTTTCTGTTAAATTACTAATATACTTTTTTAATAAAGAATTATAACCTCTAGTCATAAAAACATATCTCCGCCATATTTCTGACCATGAATAATCATCATAATATTTTAATACTCTTTCTATATCTTTACATATTTTTATTTGTGTCATAACTTTATATTTGTATCTATAAATTCCCGTTATAGTTCCTATTTTAGTAAATAAATTATGTAAATTTAAACATAATTCATATTTGTTACTAACAGATAGAAAAATATCTACAATGTATTTTATAAGTTTGTATAATTCTCTTGTAAGATGGAAAGATGTTCCTACTCTTGACTTTTTTCTTTCTTTGGTTTTTAAAGGTCTAACAGGTTTAAGATTAAAATTCTTATCTAAACACATAAAATACAACTTTTTTCTTCTTAAAATTTCTGATAGCATTTTATGACCTTGATTTAAAATAATAATTGCTGCTTCTAACCATTCAATATTTGTAATTTGAAAAAATCTGGTATTTTTTAAGTGTTTTAAAATATCTGTAGGTGATTTATGACACTTTAATTTTTTTAGATTTTTTATTCTGTTTTTTTCCAAATTATGCAAATTAAAAGGAAAAGTATTTTTATACAAAGAAATATCATAAAAATTAAATTTCTGTTTTTTGATTATTCTTACTTTTTCATTATCATTATTTTTATTAAATGACTTTACAAAATCATCTAAATAATTTCCTTGATAAAATATTTCTTCTTCATCTCCATGTATTGGAAATGTAAATATTTTATAATAAGGATTTGATTCTTTATATTTTTTAATTTGTTTGTTAAAATCCTCCCAATTCTTCATAAAATCATATTTGCTTATTTTAGGTTTATCGAGTATAAAGCTAATATTTCCATTAATGTGATATAATATTTTACAGATTTTTTTATCTTCCCAGGGCATAGGAATTGTTCTTAACAGTGTGTGTATTGACATAGGTGCATATTTAAAACATCCTATTGTTGAATATTTAGTATTTTTTAAACTTCTAAGGTGTTCAATGGGCATTTCTGATTTTTTAATATTTGAATTCATGCAAGGGATAATTTAGTGAATTTTATTTATGCTAGGAAATAGAAAGTGTAAATAAATTTTATTTATGCTAGGAAATAGAAAGTATTAGTGAATTTTATTCTGTTTTTTTTAATTAAAATACAGAAAATTTACTTATAATTACTAGGAATTTAAAATTATTTATGATTGTAAGACCAAGAATAAATAATGTATAAAATATTAATTTTAAGAGATGTGTAACATATAAACATTTTTAGTCTTAGATAAATAATGTGAAGATTAGACATCTACCAAAATATTTTTTTAAATAGAAATTCTATTTTATATGCTGGAATTTTATTACCAGCTGTTTTGTCCGAAAGAATTGTTAACCGAAAACGTGAATTTATTTATTATGAAAATAATATAAAACTAACATGTCAAATCAACCATGCTTAATCTTACAATAAGATATTTTATATTTCTCTACACCATCTTTTTCTAAACTAATATAATAAACATATTTGGAAATAAAGAATTAATTGTTTTTTTATGCAGATTATGCCATACATCTATTTTTTAAGGTTAACAATTTCTAATAGTCCATTTTCTCTAACAAGCTATTTTACATTAAAATATCTCCATTTGTTCATTGTTGTTCTTTCTATAGTTTTATAATACATTAATAATGTTTAGTATTTAATATTATTAATTTTTATCCCCCACTAAATGACTGCAAAATCTATTTTTAAATCTTTAACATCTACAGATAAATTATTAATAAGTGATGCATTCTCACATTACTCTGATATTAAAGAAATTACTACATTTCTTAAATGTCATAATCTCTACTTTAATAATATTACTGAGGTATACAAATGTATACAGGAAGAAGCAAAAGAAGAGGGATATTCTTCTACTTCTAAATTCTGTAGAGACAATCGCTATTACAAAGCATTATGCGAATATAAAAAATGTAAGAATCTTATTTATGCTATTTTAGAAAATAAAATAGATTTTAATACAATTGTAATACCTGAGGAAGAGGATATTATTGTGGGAGAAGAGACATCTGTTGTACAAAAAAAAGTTATAGAATCATTTAGTACTGATTTTATTACAGAACATAATTTAGAAATAGATATTAGTCCTAAACAACAAGAACAAATAGAACCTAAGACTATTTACAAGGCTGTAAAAATGAAAATTGAATCACCTAAAAATATTAAAGAAAAAAAAAGATTTTATTTACGAATGGACGAGGATGAAAGAGTACTAGATGATTATTTTGATTATCTAAATATGAAGAATATTGAAGGAGTAAAAAGTACTTCTAATCTTGAAAAAGGTAATTCTATGGTAGACATTTACCCTTTAATTGTTAGGGAAAGAGATAAGGTAGTTAGGCCTTTAATAGCAGATGATAATACAAAAAGAGAAAAAATAAGTGAGGATGAGATTTTATGTCCTTTTGAACGTCTTATGCATAAGGTACAGACAACTAAACGACAGGATAAGTACCAGTGGAAGATTGAATTGAAAATTATAGTAGATTATTTTTCTAATATTTTTTAAGGAGAAGAGAAATTTCAACATGTTTATGATAATATGGATACTGTCTCTCTCCAATACACAATTATGTCTATAATGTTAATTATACAAGATTATATAATGGAGGAGGAAGATGAAGAGAGATTAGATATTTACAGTGACTATAAAAAGAAATTGTCAGCATATTGTGATTATTATAAAAAATAAAAATATACAATTTAATTCTAAGTTATTTTCTTTTGTATTATTAAAAAATTATACTTTTGTATATTAAACATAAATTTGATGTAAAAATTATTTTACTGTCTAACGTATAAAAGATTCTTTTATTTTATAACATCTCTAATTTTCTAAAAAAACGTTTTAAAAAGAACGAAAAAATCTTTGTTTAGAGTATTTACTAAAGAATCTACAATTAATGCTGACATTGTACATACCAGATTATCTTTTATGAATAAAAAAAATTTTTTATGTATAATAAATTGGATTACACCGATTTAAACTTTTTAGGAGGGTTGTCGCAGTCCTATTTGGTCCTTTACCCATTCGAACCCCACTTTATTTGGACACCACTGTAATGTATACATAAAATTAGTAATAATTTTGAAATAAACTAAATTTGTTATTTTATTTACAAGTACTGATTTTTTATATTATGTTTTACTTCATTTTAATCTCTATATTAAAAATAGAATTGCATAATTTTGAAAGAGAAAAAATTATTGAGTTTATTATTAGCAACACAGTTCCTGTTAGATTTCACACACGAGAACAAAAAAGTGTTCAAAAAAAGAGCAAAAAAATTTCATATTGTTGAAGAAGCAGAGAATTTAAATTCAATTTGGGGAATGGTCGATGTAAAAATTTTTTATTTTAGAAAAGGAAAAATTTAAAAAAGATCAAATTAAATTGATTCATGTTAGTAATAAACATGCGGGTTGAGACAGGCTATATAATTTATGTAAATCAATAATATATGAAGTTTCCGAAATGCTGAGTTCCTGTGAAATTTGTCATGGCGAAAAGCGATGATTACAAGACCTGTTATAATATACATTATTTTCAGACCTTCCAGAGAACGATAAATTGCCAATCTAATATATTTTAGAAAAGTAAATGATGGGTATATGTGGATGCTTGTCGTCATAGACTTATTTTCTAAGTTTATGTGGACAATTCCTTTTCAAGTAAAAGCCGCTTCATCTGTAGTTCCTGCAATAAGATCTATTTTTATGTCAAATGAATTCTGCTTTTTTACATACAGATAATGGAAGAGGATTTTTCAGTGATTCCATGTCTAGTATGCTTTCTACTTTTGATTTAGACATCTTAGTAGCCGTGCCAGATATCATTGGATCCAGGGACAGTTAGAAAGAGCCATTCAAACAATAAAATGGATGTTTGGTTTATACTAATGACGATAGATGCTCCAGGTAGATAAATGTCGATGAGAGAAGATGTAATCTATTCTTATAATAGACTTTGTCACTCTACAACGTCAAATACACCGTTTAGTTTAAGTATAAAGGAGTTGATGGCTAACGGGCAAAAAAATTCTATACTTTTAACAATTAACGATTCTAGCAGTGATTTAGAAATTGAACGTATAGAAGAAGTAGAAAATATTTCATTAGATATTTTAGAATTTATAGAAGAATAAGAGCTGGACAAATAACTATTGATATTCTATGATAAATTTGATTATGCGTGAAAATGCAAGATTATCTAAAAAAAAAAACTGCAGATTGTATGATTGAAAGAAGTCGATGGCAAAATAATTTTTTTCTCTATTATTAAATGACAGGATTCTAATTAGGCCAGATGCTGGCAATAATATTCAAACAAGGAGAATGCCACTTCCTGAGCATTTAAATACTATAGTCTATATTATTGTGGAAATATTGCAATTTAATAAGGTAAAGTTGGCTACAGAAGATAACAATTCTATAATTATTGAAAAAATTGAAATAATAAGATTAAGAAAAATAGGAAGTTAATTAAAAGGCTTAACTAAATATTTTATAAAAATACACAATCTCTAATTATTTTTTTTAAGTAAATAATCTTAAATAAACCAAATTTCCCACCTAAAATATAAAAAAGTATAAAAAACTTTTTCTTGACAATCTCTTGTATTTAGAATAAAGAACGAGGATTATAAAATTTTAACCTGGGGTCAGAATGGGCGGGGTTTTTTCCTGACTGTGACAAGGATTATTTTATTACATAGTTTTAGATTTATTAGAAGAAAAACTTAAAAGTGTGGTATTACAACCACATGTTAACCTTATTTAAAAAATTTTACTATAAAAATAATTTTAACCCATGCCTTTTGTGAAGAAAAAATCTAATAAATTATTTAGTGAAAATAAGAGTTATGTTAAAAGCCTGCAAGGAACAGACGGCAAAGATAAAGTTTTAAGCTTATTAGAGTATTACTTTAAGATTAGTTGCATTCCCTTGCAGCACGCCAAAAAGTAGGGTATTAGAACTTATTTCCACCATTTTAAGAGAATATAAATATATATACAAGATATTTATTAGACTATAGAAGGTTAAGAAGATATTGACGATTGAATAATATTTGTCAATGAAATTTCTAGACTTTTAAATACTTTTTAAAAAAATGTTATTTTACATTTATAAAAGGAAAATATATTGACAGGCAAAAACTTGGTAATATTTTTATATGGTATAAAATTATTTGCTATTATTTAATTTATTTCATTAAATAAAGTAGTTCATTTTCACTTTTAGGCTATTTTAAAAGTAATAGACTACATAAACTACTATTATTTTTTTGACAGGTACCTTGGCCGAGCGGTTAAGGCGCCAGATTCAAGTTCTGTTACTCTTCTGAGTGCGTGGGTTCGAGTCCCACAGGTACCACTTTTTACAATGAAAAAAAAGTTTTTCAGATTTTTTAAAATAAGTTATAATTAAATATTTATTTATACTTTAGTAAATATTCTTTAAATGCAAAATTTTAAAGTACTAATGTCATTGTTGTAATCAGCATGAACAAATCATATGTTTCAACAGTTTATACGTTAAGCAAAAATTAAGCCATGTTATCTCAAACATAATATTAAGGAAAATTTTAAATAATAAACATGTAATTTTTACTGACTTTTTAGTAAAAACTACAATTATTTTATATTTTGTTTACAACTTATAAATATGTCAAGATCCGACTTTGATAGTATAGTTAAAAAATATATCATTAGCTCTAGCTTACTAAATAACTATAATTTTGTGAAACTAATTTATAAACTAGTAAAAAAAATGATAATTTTTTTAATGCAAAATTTTTAAGCCAAGAAATTGCACAATTATTTTTTAAAAGTAAATAAAAAATAAAAATAATTTTGGCTATGATTTTTTAAATTACTTTTGAAAGTTGGTTATTATTACACTGGAGGTAATGATGTCCTATGTTATAAATAATTATATGTTTATTTATCAAATTAATTCAATACCTTAGAAATACTTATTAATTCACAAATCAGTAAAAACATGAGACAATAATTATGATTGGTTTTTTTATAAAAGTTTTGATTTTATTAAAACATAGAATAATAAGAATGGTGGCGTGTTTGCCATGAATTATGCCTGTTGCAAGAAAGCAATCAAGAATGCTCCGAAGCCTTTGCAAATTTCTGAGTTGAGGTGGCTTTTATTATAAGAGGTGTAATTGCTAAAGAATTTGCTCGTATTAGAAGTTTTTCGATGACAAAATTATTTTGATTCATGTTAGTTAAATGGTTTTCGTATTTTTTTATAGATAACCAATGATTGAAGTTTTTTAAAAATGTAACAATACATAAATTAAATTATAAATATATGTGACGTTATGTATAAAAATAATAGTTTATTGGTTTATTATAAAAATTTAATGTGATAATTATTTCAAATATTAATTAAAATATATAATTTATTAATGAAGTTAAATCCCAGCAATGCGAATTTGTTAAGTAATTATAACTTGGCGTTAACACAGCAATTATCATAAGATGTTTGTCGGCAAGGCAATATCGCAAGCTACTCTGTAGGTGTCGACTAAGGGTTGTAAACTTCTTAATGTTACGAGAAAGCATAACATCATTAGCTTGGCATACAATTTCCATGGCTGTGAAAAGCATTTGTAGGTTGTATTCAAAGACCTATAGTAAGAAATTCCATCTGAAGAATTGCCTAGGTAGGGCGCGGCAAGCTAATGGTGCTCTAACATACTTCGCGTAGGATGGTTAGAGTCCATCATGGCCATTAGACCCACGTCACTCAATCCGACTCCAATTCCAGTAAACAATTGGTCTAGTAGAACATACTCTATAAGTTGTTAACTTTATAGTATTCTTACGGAGGTAAATCAGATCTTCCTACGAGCAAAGCCTTCGTGGTATAATAGCACTGATAATGTGCAGATATTGAGATTGAGAAAATGGGAGTTTTTTAAGAGAAGGATAAAATAGTGTATGGACAAGACAAAAAAAAACAAAATGTAGAAAGGATTAAAAAGAAAAACTTTTTTCATGTGTGTCTTGCCCAGGGAAGAAACATTCTTGTCCCAAATACAATTCAACAATACTTTTAGTTTCAATAAAATTTTATTTATTATTTTTCTTTTATACGTTATGCGCCCCATTTCTGCTTTGGGCTGTCTAATAAAATGATGGTTTAAATTTTTATTCTCCATTTCTTTTTTCTTCTTGCCTTGCAATTAAAATTTTTTCAAATTTACTTTTGATTCTTACGATTGTGGTAAATTAAAGTTTTAAAACAAACAAATTATAATTTGGCTATGCCACCGTGATATAATAAGATAATCTAAAAAAATTTTTACTTAATAAACGGTTAAGAATTCGACGAACTGACATTTTTCAAAAAGAACCAATTAATAAAAAAAATAATATTAATAAATTAACTCTTGATATTAAAAGAAAACTCCTTCCTCGTTTTAAAATTTATTTAGATACTTTCAAAGGAAGACAAACATGGTATGGCTTTTAATGCATCAATAAACAATTAAAGTAGCGTTTAAAAATATATTTAGTGATTACGTTAAAAAATGCAATTAAGCAATATTGAGATGGCTAGAATTGACTCTCAAAGTATCTTATTTATATTTTATAAATATATTTTTTAATACAATTTCACGTGCATTATTGTATTATGTTTTTAAAATCCAGATAAATAGCTATGTGATTTTGATAAAAAAAATTTTAGGTGAGTTTAAAAAATAAATTTTTTTTATTTACAACTTACATGACTCCTCACCCCCAAATATTGCTTCATATCTTTTTATTTTAGTTATGAAATAACTTTTTTACAGTTCTTTTATTATCTTATTCCATTCTTCTGCTACAGCAACTTTTAATTCTTTAATATTTTTAAACCGACTAGCACTTACATTTTCCTTCTAAACATATCATAGACTCTCAATTGGATTTAAATAAGATGATAATGATGCCAATTCAATTATTTTATTCTTTTAATCAAAAAACTTCTTTTAAAGTTTTGATTTGTACTTTAAACCAGTATTTTGCTAGAATAAACATCCTTAATACAGTTAAATAAATTATTATTGAAAACTGTAGTATTTTTTTACAATTTAATTTACTTTTTATAATTTAAATATCTTCAACTCCTTCCTCCAAAAAATTTGCCTAGACTATTATTAATTTATACCATGCTTAACAGCAGGTTTTAAATTTTTATATAATATCGCAAACAGTCTTTTCGGCGAAATAAACTATTCTATCTGATTCGAAAATTGAAATTTTAGAACTATCACTCCATATAATACTTTTAAGTGATTTTTCTATTTGTAATACTATTCCGTTGCTAGTTTTAATATGTTTTGAATATTTTTTTTTACAACAGTAATCTACATGCTCTTCTTATGCCTTCATATCCCAAATCAACTATTTTTAACAAGAATAAAATTCTGTTCTTAAATCCAGTACTGTATCTGTGATGCAAATTTTAGAAAATGCGTAATGGAAAAATATTGCTCGATTGGTTTAAAATAAAGTAGCTGGGTACTATCACGAGATTTACCTTTATTTCTGTATTATTATTTATTACATGTTCAATTGTTTTAATTTATTTTACTACAAATATTAGTTTTTATTCTAATCCATCGTAATTACAGAGGAATAAGAAATTTTTCCCGATAACTTTTTAAATAAAATATTTTTACTGGCTTTAATTATGCGACCTCTGATATTAGTATCAATAAATTATTTTTTTATTCTGATTGATCATCAATAAATTTTGATATTTTTTTAAAGCTCGAGCTTATTTATATTTTGTATGTTATTGTTAACGCCATCTTAATATTTTAAATTTAACAAGTAAACAACAGTTGAAAAACAACTAAAAATTCTTGTTTGTAAGAATATGATCGCAAAATGTCAACCCTTTTTATTTGTACATCGCGGTAGTTCAAAGTCAGTTTTTTATGTTACTATCTAAAATTCGTTTTCGTAAATTTATAAGCCAGCACAAAATTTATACAAAATATAATTTGACTTATTTAAAAAAATAAAATAATCTTATAGTTTAAATTAAATAATTTATTTGTCTTTAACTAATAGAACTTAGTTTGAGAATACAAAATGATTAATCTTAGAAAGGGATAATAAAAATACAATATTTTGCAAAATAAGTTTAATTATACGTCATTTTTCCTATTAAAATCTTAAGAAAGGAAAATAGAATGATAAAAAGAAGGATTAAAATAGCTTGCAATTCAATACGTCCTAAGAAGGAATCGCGATGTCCAAAAAATCCAAAGTGAGGTGTCTGATCATAATCATTTATGTTTACTCTTTCGTCACACCAATTCATAAAAAGTAATCTCACTGCTCTGTGGGTATTATATTCTTCCAAATCTGAGCTGTCTGTATCTTGCATATCATTTATAAAAACCAAACTTACATTTGATAACAAAATACAAAACATAAATAATTTTTTATAAAGTTTTGAATTCATTAATTAGGGACTAAAAAAATAACAAAAATAGTCTAAATTAAATTAAATTAAATTTTTAAAGTTAAAAGTTTAAAAAAAGATTCAATAATTCTTTGTTTATCTTAAAACAATAAATTAATTTGTGTATAAGTAATTATTTATAATCTCGATTTTTTGTGCCTATGCAATGCCTGTACTTCTGGTTTTATTACTTCCATTGATTCATTTTCTTTAACATGTTTTTCTTCATAAGTTAGCTCTCTGCAGCTGTTCATTAATTTATCAAAATAAATGTATAAAAAAAATATACACCAATAAAAAAAAGTAAATATTTAATTTATAACAAATTTAATTAAATTTTATAGATAGTTATCAAAATTGTAAATTTGGAAGATTTTGTTATTGATAAAATTTAATGTCGTGAGCCCAGCTCGCACCCGAGCCACAGTCGCATATAATTCGATTCCCGGCAGAATCTTTTTATATAGAAAATGAGATGTTTTAACGCTGCAATTTACTAAAGCTTACAAAAAAAGTTGTAAAATAAGATAAAAAATACTTTTTATGGGTTTGTGTAGAGGTATTGCTGTATCCAAAGTTCAAAATATTTGCATTGCGATATTGCTATCATTAAATTTTGTATTTAGATAACATAAAATAAATTTTTTAAAAAAAGCAAGTAATTTTATAAATTATAACATTTTTTAAGCACAAAAATGAACTGAATTAAACTGTTTTTTTATTACGTTAGCCATAGATACTATCTCAATTCTATCTCCATGATCAATTAGTAGTCGATTCTCAGATAATTTTTTTTATTATAGCTGCAGGATGAAAAATGGGTCAAATTTTAAGCGTTGTTTGCTTGGTTAGCATCAAAGTCTTTTTTATAAAAACATATTCATCTACATTAAAATTATACACAGAATTATGGACCACCTTTTTATCCATTCTTGCAAGATATCCAGCACATATACTTACTTCAACTTCACTTAAAACTTCTTTATTATTGTTTTTTTTTCTTTCCATGAATATGTTTCTAAATCAGAAAATATAACACCATCATTTTCAGCACTAAGGACTGTATTAAACCCTTTGCGTCCGTAAAAAAAGTTCAAATGGCAATTTACAAGTGGAAGAATAAACAGGAATGTTGTGGTTATAAAAGACAAGATCAATATACTTTATCCAACTAGCTTCCTTTACGTTTTCATCTTTGGCATCCATTTGTTTAGCTATGGCTCTCGTTAATGTTTGACTAGAACGTTCAATTTGACCTTGTGGTTGCGGATGTCTAACTCTACCATGAATCAACTTTACATTAAATCGAGAACAAAGATCGTTAATCACAAAATTAGAAAATTCCTTTCCATTGTCACACTGTAAAACAGTTGGTGGACCAAAAGTTAGAAAAAGTGATTCTAATGCATTGCTAACTTTCAAAGCTGCTTTAGATTTGAGTGGATAAGCCTTTGCAAATTTTGAATAAACATCAATCACATTAAGTATCCAACAAAAACCTAGGTTCGTTGCTTTATAATTCTTAAGGTCGATTAAGTCTATCATAATATGCTCAAAGCAGTAGGCAGCCGTAACATGCTTAAATGGCTCTTTCTGCTTTAAAGGCTGTGATGTTTTACAAGTATCACACCTTGCAACAACATCTTTCACAATAGTTCTGGGTATGGTAAAGAAATAATCCTTGCACAATTCATACATCCTATTATGGCTGTAATGGTTGGTATCATGCGGTCTTTTAATCTCTAATGCCATTATATCGACCTGGGTCTTGTAGAACACTTTTTTGTGCAGTCCTTCTCTAACATTTAAGTAGAGCGTGTCATTAAGTACAAGAAAGTGTTCCACCTTCTTACGGAACCTAAATACTTGGTATCTACTCAAATTTCTCTCTAACGGCAGCTTTAAAAGAATGGCCATTATTGCATCATATTCCTCCTTATCATTTATAACTGATACCATTCAAAGCTAAAAATAAAGAATTTTAAAAAAATTCAATTTCTTTGTTCTTAAATATATTGCAGAATTTAAAATATTTTGCAGCCTACCTTTATTCAACAAATCCCCACTTCTTGTAAAATTATTTATTTAAAATTTTAATAAAATGTACGTGGCAAGTATCGCAGTTGAGTTTATCTTGTTGCATGTAAAAGCATCTGCGGATTCGATTCCCATATAAAAATATTTAAGTATAGGTTTTGGGATAAGGACTCCATCTACTTTAATTCAATGTAAAGAACGTCAAAGTTCAAAATTTGTAACAAAAAATACTGTGTGCGGCTGTGGCTCGGATGCGAGCTGGACTCGCGACAATAAATGTTATTTAACTTTATTTAAAGTCCTTATAAATTTAACACTTACTTTGAAAAATAATTCTAATTTTTAAAGACTATTATATATAAATTCATTAATTAAATAGAAAACCACTTTGCATCTTAATAATAAAACATATATTTTTTACTAATATTTTATCCTACTTGGTTACATATTGTAGTAACATCTTTTATATATTTGCCTATTAAATTTGCAAGTATAAAGCATTATAATTACAAGATAATTATTTTAGAGTTGTGACTATTTTTACAAACACTAACATTAGATGCATATTTAATTGAACATTTGCATATAATATACAAGTAGTAACATACAAAATTATATTTTTATTTTATTCTCTGACATAACATTTTAATAAAATTTTTAAATGTTTATACCTTATATAATAACAATGTATTATTATTAACCACATGTCATTAATTTTAATTTATTTTGTTTAAAATTTATTTTTATTTAACCAATCAAAACTATTAAAAAGAAAAATTGCTTTCTAATAAATATTTGACTCAAAGTATCTTCAGTGGCTGTATACCACAGACAAGAATGTTAAAAAAAATTAGTTTTAATGGTCTTTAATACTGAAATGCAAATAATTATAAGAAAAATGCAAACATATACACCTTTTACTGTAAATAAACTATTTGCATTTGTTTTGAACGTAAACGTAACATTTAAACAGATTGTATCGTACATTTTGGTTTATTATAATAAAGAAAAATATTTTAATTTTTTTTGACTCTCTGCATTGTATACTGTCTTTTGCAGCAAAACCAAGAAAAACTAAATGAATTTAAAACCCTTTGCCTTTATTTATTATATACAATATAATCAGTCTTAAAATCATTTTTTTTAATCTAATTAAATTAAACAAAGAAAAAAGTTTTTAGAAAAATATTATCAGTAAACTATAATTTTTACTAGAAAGCATTTTTCTTCAAAGCTCAATTTTTACAAAGTTATTTCTAAAACAAACATCGTTCCAACTAAAGTTATGATTACTATTTGTGATTAATTTACCACATGTCAATTGTTTTAATTTATTTCGGTATTATTTTTTTTTATTTTCGCCCATCGGTATTACAAAAGAAGAAAATAATTAAATAAATTTTGTCTTCAAATATACTCGGTGGCTATAACACCACACTATTAAATTAATTTGTTATTATTTTATTATCAGTTTCACATTTCTGTCATAATTTTTTAACAGTAAAATATTTCAGTTAGAATTTTATTTTTATCAGTATAAATTTCTAAAAAATTAATTTATATTTTTTGTGATAATTAACTTTTTTGATCATATTTAGTTAAGACATTAAAACCCACTCTTTCGAATAAATAGTCTAATGCTGATTGATATTGTAATTGTAAATTCTGATAAATTCTTAAAATGTTTTACCCCTTAATGTTATTTTTGTTTCAAATAATTTTTTGTTCAAAACCAAAACAAATATTGGATCATAATGTACCATTAGATCTAAGAATAAATATATCAAGTACTTCAAGAGCATACGAAAATAAAGATTTTTGTGAGAATGTAGATATACAACAAAAGAGTCAAGAATCGACTAAAACAGTAGATAAATATTCAGAGGTAAATCAATCTGATGTTAATTTATTAACATATTTTACAGGTAAAGATTTAAACAGTAGATGTAAAAATGTTGACTATGATCTGTGCAATTTTTCGTCTTTATTAACTAAAGAGAACAATTTGATGCCACGCAATTTCACAAGAAGTACAGTTATTAAATATGTATCTAAGAAACGATATTGTACATCAAAACAATCGATAAGTGATAAAACATGTCTCGAAGCTTCAAATATTAGTGGAAATGATACGTCTGAACATTCTTACATTATAACATCTTGGAATGAGGATACTGATTTATTGTTAGATAAAAATCAAAATGATTTAATACAAGAGCAATATGGTACTTCAGAAAATAATGCATTTTTACAGAAAAATAATAATGTTTTGGTTTTATCAAAAAATCAAAATTATTGCATAGAGAATAATAGTGTAAATGAACCAAGTGCTGTTCAAACAGATTCTCCATTTAATGTTGATATTTTATCTACGATTAATAACCCTGAAAGTAGTTATTCTTTTAATAATGCTTACAAAAATGATAACAGCGTAAAAGATAAAAGGAAAAAATTAAAAACTAACAATGTATCTAATATACAAACAAACGGCAATGAAAAGGCTTTGAAATCTAAAAGAAAAATAAAAACTTATAAAACAATTCGTAAGAATCAATTTACAGCTAGCGAGCGCGAACTTTTTAAGAAATACAAGGAATCTGAAGATGAATTTAGAAGGTTTTTAAAACTTAAAATTAAAAATCAAATACTGCAATTTATTAAGAAACTTGAAATATCTAATCTTTGTGATGACCTTAAACAAAATTCAATTTTTGCTCTAAGAAGTCTTTTAAGTTTTTTAGATACGATAAGTGCAATTTATATTAATACAAAGAAAAAGAAAAATAAGAAAGAATTTTTAAATTCATTAAATCCTGCATGTAATCAATTTAGCAAGTATGCAGACGTGTCTCAAAAACTTTTAATTTTTAAATTGATTTGTAATAATTTACACGAGGTTAATGATGGCGGTTTTTGTTGTATTTCTGATTGTGATTTTTATGAAATTTATCATTTACTATTTTCTGTTGACATAAGATTCAATTCATTATACAAAAGACTTGCAAAATTAAGAGATAATTTTAAATAAAATTAATATGTATTAAAGTTTTTATAAGGTTATTTGTATTATTTTATAACATAGTTGGTCATTGCATCTATTTTTTTAAATAATATTTTTTTTAAAGTAAAGTTAACAATAAAAAAATACTTTTCATATCTAAAAATATCTATAATGCATATAAGCATAAATTATATTTTAGTAATCAACCCCCGCAAAGGGCTTAACCTATAGATCAATCTTTACAATTTATACGTAAAAAAGATTCGAAAGTTGGAAATATATAATTTTGCGATATTAATATTTATCCATGATGAAAATTTTTTTTTTTATATTTTAAAAATAATAAATTTTATTTTTTACTTCTAACAGGTAACAAATAAATGAAGTTAATTTTAATACAATTTTAGTTTTAATAATCTACACAACTTTTTATAGGCCAAAACGAGGCACTAATAAAAAATTCATTAGAATTTTTATAGACAAGTTTCGATATTCTACAAAACGTCAGATTCTTATACCGTTCATAAGTATCGATTATTTAAAAACACTTAACGTAAAAACAAAGAAGCGAGTTTTAAAAATAAATAACAACTAATAATTATAAAAGATTTGGTCTTAATAGTAATATTTTTAAACCAAATTTAGCATTTATATAGGATCAGGTCCTCTCAGTCTTCCGTTAAAAAAAAACAATATTAATAATTTAATAAAATAAAATTTTTCTGCAGTATCGTCAGGCTCATTTTTAACCGCAGGTGAAAAATGGCTCAATTTTCACCTATCAATTTTTTACTCTTAAACTTAAAAATAATTAAATAATTTTTAAAAAGATCGGCCTTTTTTTATAATTTTAATTTTTTTACCCTTATTATGAAAAATTTATCAAATAATATCATCAAAAGCATTAGAGTAAAAGAAAAATTGCATATGAAGGCTTTTTTACAATTTTAAAGAACATTCTGTTGGTAAATTGGTCTGGAGATGCAATAAGAGAGGATGCCCTTCATTATTAAGAACTACAATAGACTCCCTTTTACTAGAATTTTCAGAGCATAATCTTGCAGTGACGATATTAAACTTAGCAAGGTACTCTTTGCTTGCTAGTAAGTTAAAACAGAGAATCCTAGACACCTCTGAAACATCAAGAGTTGCAATCTCTAATGTAATGTCTGAATTTAACTACTCAAACATTATAGATTATAAGATGATGAATAGTTTGGTCACAAGTTCTAGAGAGACCAACAATCTTACAATTGTTAAAGAATATGATATTTCATACGAATTGACAAAGACAACTAGGGGGAAGAAGTTTTTGTTCTACGATTCTGGAATACATGATGAGAACAGAATTGTTGTATTTACAACCGATGAAAATATTTTGCATCTCATCAATTGCAAAATAATGATTTGTGGCTACACTTTCAAGTCTGCTCCTAAAAACTTTGAACAAATTTTTACCTTACAGTGCAATGTTAGAAATAAAAATTTGCCTCTTTTGTATTGTTTTATGAAAACAAAAAATGAATATTCTTATAATAAGCTTTTTGAATGGTTAAGTAAAGAAATAAAAGAAGAAGTAATAAAAGAGAAGAATATTATTTTGGACTTTGAAAGAGCTAGTATGAATGCTCTTAAAAAGTTTTTTACAAGTTCTAAAC